ATTATTTGGAAGTATAGTTTATCTTATTTTTATATTTATTTATTTTAGGGGTGGGCCTGCATGAGCCACAGGATGTGTGTGGAGGTCAGAGGACAGTTGGCAGGAAGCTGTTTTCTCCTTCCACCACGTGGGTCCCAGGGATTGAATGCAGGTTGCCAGGCCAATCATTACCCACAGGGCCATTTTGCAGATCTCATTCTAACTTCTTCAGTGTTAGTGATTCTGTTCATGGACAGCATGTCTCTATAGTGCCCATCAAGTCACTCTGCTTAATCCTATTTTCTCTTTTCACTCAGTAATGATAGGGACAAGGTACCACTAGATCAGGGACCAAGCCGAAGTCTTTGTTGTGAGAGGGAAATTCAGCAACACTGAACATTTTTTTTTCGGTCTTTTTGAGACAGGGTCTCCCTGTAGCTGCAGTTGGCCTGGTTTGGCTATGGAGACCAGGCTGGCCTCAAACTCACAGAGATCCCTGCCTGTGCCTCCCGAGTGCTGGGATTAAAGGCGTGTGCCACCACGCCCCGGCAACACTGAGCATTTTACAGAAAGAGAGAGAATGAATTTCAGCTTTTGCTCAGTTTGGTCCACAAATTACAACAATTCTCTTGCCAAAGTGAAACACTAGGTTATGGGATATTTAGTCAATGGAAAGATTTGGCAAAAGCAGCGTAAGTTCCATGAAGCTCCAATATTAGGGAAATAAAGAAAACATAATTTAGAAAATACAAGAAACTGCTGACCTGGTTCACAAGTGAAGCCAACTCCCATTGAAGAAAGAACCAAAATGAGGTTTCCCACCTGACTGTGCGGTCAAGAAGGGAGCCTGTGGCTGTCAAATATGTAATGTGATTCAGAACCCTGAAATGATGTCATCACATAGAGCCTGCACATGAAGGGAGCTGGGATTCATTATCAAGCCCTTCGGGAACCTCAAGATGAGGAGGGAACTCCTGTGTTCTGCAACCCCAGAATGCCTGGATGTTGCTGGCAATCCCGGTGGCTCCCTGAATTCCATGCCTCAGAGAAATAAGCTTCCTGCAGCCAACTGTGAAATTAGAAAATTCTGCTTTCTCTTGGGGTACATATGTTTTTTAAAATTTTTTAATTATTTTTATTTTATATGCATGAGTGTATTGCCTACATATATATAAGTGAACCCGTGTCATGCAATGCTTGCAGATGTCAGAAGAGGATGCTGGATTCCCTGGAACTGGAGTTACAGACGATTGTTAGTCGCCATGTGGGTGCTGAAAATCAAACCCAGGTCTTCTGCAAGAGTGAAGGAGTGCTTGTAACTGCTGAGCCATCTCTCCAGCCCCTGGGGTATATATGTTTCATACTTTGGTGTCTATGAAAATACCTTTGAAGTGTAAAAACCTCCTTGTTTGGGTATTCTAATGTTTCACAAATTTCGTATGTATGTGTACGTGTGTGTGTGTGTGTGTGTGTGTGTGTGTTTGTATACAATATATGTGGTACATAAAAGCATACTTGTATGTGTGAATGCGGGTGCACATGTGCCGTGGTGCACATGTAGAGGTCAGAGGGCAACCTCAGGTTTTGGCCCACCTTCTACCTTGCTTGAGACAGAGCCGCTTGTTCAACAATGTGTACACCATACTAACTGATCCTCAAGCTTCTGACAATTCACCGGTCTTTGTCTCTCATCTTCTCATAGGAGCACTGAAATTACAGATCTTGCACTATGCATCTGGCTTTTACACGAGTTCTGAGGATTTGAACCCAGGTCCTCCTGTTTGCATGGCAAGTGCTTTTATCCACTGAGCCATTACCTCATCCCCTAGTTTCAAAAATCTTAACAGTGTCCTATGCATGATTCCCAAGACCTAATTCTACATTTTAAGTTTGTGGGCACATTCAGTGTCATAAGATATAGATTGATTCCAAAACTAGAGGCAGAGCTGCATAAAACCTAACAGCTAGGAAACAGCTTGTATCTTTATCAAGGACGAAATGTCCCGAAGGGTACTCTCAAGGATTTCAAATCAGCCACAAAAACTGACTGGCACCACTTTGCAGGTTCTCTGCATCCAAGCTGGCTTCAGTTTAAAAAAAAAATTGATATTAAAAGGGCCTGGTTGTTCTGTTGCTATTTTTGGTGGGTTGCCCCATGAAACCAGGCTATGATGGGTCCAGAGCTGCCCCGTCAAGTACGGAGTTCTAGTTCCCAGATCAGTCTGCAAAAGGAAGATCAAAGCCAGCCTCTTTTTGCTTGTGCATGTTCTGGAAAGCAAGAATTCTAAAGAGATGTTTGGGGACTTTTTTTCATTCTTTATCCTGAGACGAAATCTAGGGAGCTGTCTCAGCTATTTAGAGATATAAGATATAAGGACAAGTTGGAGAGTTTATGATCCACCCCTAATACTGAACGACTGGATCAAATATTGTAATGTTTTTGTCTTCTGCTTTTTTACTTTGAAACAAAAACTTGCTGACTCTTTTCTAGTTTAGCTATTTTGCATCTTTCCAGACCATACTTGGTGTTTAAGAAGCAGTGAGTCTGTTGTCCCCATCACTGGGGACACACCATGGCCACCCATGAAAGCTGGTCTTATGGGCTCCCTTCTGGAAGGACTCCAGATGAGAGAAGGATCTGGAATATTGTTGGAAGTCAGAGGTAAAACACAGGCCTATGCTACGGCCCAGCTGCAGGCTCCTTGAGGAAGTTCATGATCACGTACTGAGCAGGGTCTGGCCGCCCCACATTTGCCCCATGATATCTCACCCTGCAAGTAGCTTGGCTCAGCCTCCCCAAAGTCTGAGTTAAAAATGCCTTTTTGGATTCTAAGGTTCCAAAAATCAGCTATGCTGTCAATTACCATAAAAGCAACTGGTTGGCAGGAACTGCTATTGGACCAGCCAAAAGAGCGTGTTTTAAGACCAAAAAAGAAAGAGGTGCATCGTTAGGAAAATCTTGGATACCGTAAAACTCAAAGCATGTTGAAATTTAAACTGGGGCTATCCTCAGTCTGGACACATATTTCTTCAGAAAGTTAAACAGAAAAACAATTATACAAAAAAAAAAAAAACCCAAGAAACAAAAAAACCCCCAAACCACCCTCTGTTGTATGGGAA